TGGTCTTGGGTGGAAAGATTCAGGAAAGGCTTGGGGAGACAGCACTGAAGACAGAAGAGAGACAGGAAAAAGGAAAGGAAAGAGTATACGGAGAAGGGTCAGCATAGGTGGGGCAGGGTGGTGGGACAGGGAGGTGGGGCAGAAGGCTCCCGGAGAGGGCTGGGGTAGGACCTGGGGCAGAGCAGTGGTCGAAGAACCTGAACACCCCACCCAGACCCGGGATGTAGTCATGTGGACCTCAGACTCTGGGACCAGAGAGAGGAGGAACAAAAGAGATCCCACACAAAGTCTCCATCAGTTATACTTTAGAACCAGTTTACTGTGAGGCAAGCAGGAGCTGGGAAGAAGAAGACACCCAGAAAATCTCCAAGTGGGATGCTGTCCCACGGGGTAAATCACGTTCAGAAAATAGTACTGCAGACAATGATATGGCCTTTCCAAGTTTGGGAGCCTGGGGACAGGAGAGTGCAGGGTGAGGAGCGTGAGTCTCGGGGTATTTGTAAAAGGTAGCAATGGAAGATGTCAGCGTGCAAACATCTTAGAAGCCAGAGACACATAAGGGCACTGGGTGGAGCAATAATCTCACCATGGACATCTCTGAACCTGAAAATGGTAGGTAGGGTGCTTTCAGTGTTTAACTCTGCTTAAGAGAGAGATCCTCATTAGCAAGAGACCTTTGGAGAAAAGAAAAAGAAAAGGGATTTCAAGATGTGTTCTCCAGGGACGGGGGACAGAGCTCAGCCTGATTTGTGATACCCATCTCTCTGCCACTTTCTACGCAACTCTTCCCACTGTGCTGTTTAAAAAATAGGCCCACTCATCAGCTGATACGCTGGCATGGTGAGCTCACGTCACTTCATTTGTCAGCATGAAATAACAACTACTCATTATAAAGAATTTTAGCAAATACCATCGGAAGAGAGAAAACTGCAGATATCGTCCCTCACCCATAAATCTAACTGCATTTTCAGGCAGCTGCTGGCTTTTCGCACCGTGTGTACATTTCATTTTTGTCTCTGGGCTGGGACCCTGCCTGCTTCCCTCAGCTAATGTGACAAAGGGAGGTGTTAGCACAACACCATGACCTCCATGAAGTCAGTGGTATAGAAGTGTTCTGTCCTATGTACACACACACACACACACACACACACACACACACACACACACACCATTTCTAACTTACTCTGCTGGATTCTTAGGTGCTTTTAAGACTTTTCTATTGCCACGTGTATATCCACACAGATATCTTTAAGCACAACATAATCTTGCCCGTCTTGCCTGACTTTCTAAGGTCAGATGTCCAGACACAGACTCACTGAGCTGTGAGTTGTGGGCTGAGCTGTACACCATCTCGATGGGAGCCTTCCCCTAACCGGACCTTCTCCTCTTACAGCTGTCTCCTACACAAATTACAAGAAGACGCCTCCCCCGGTGCCTCCGCGGACCACCTCCAAGCCTCTGATCTCTGTGACAGCCCAGAGCAGCACAGAATCTACGCAGGATGCCTACCAGGAAAGCCGTGCCCAGAGGATGTCCCCATGGCCCCAAGATAGCCGTGGTGGCCTCTACAACTCCATGGACAGTCTAGACAGCAACAAGGCCATGAATTTGGCTCTGGAAACAGCTGCAGCTCAGCGCCACGCAGCCGACGCTCAGAGTAGCTCTACAAGGAGCAGTGACAAGGCAATCCTGGTCTCCAAGGCTGAAGAGCTTCTCAAAAGCCGCTGCTCCTCCATCGGGGTCCAGGTAGTCTCCCCTGACCACCCTCTCTGGCACCTGTGTAGGTTGAGTCAAAAGTCATGTCACAGTCCCAAGCCTTTGGCCCCTTAACAGAAGCAGGACAGTAAACACTGAGAGGCCACATGAGCCTACTGCAGTGTGAGAGACCCCAGATAGAGCTCAGGGAGATGAGGGTCATGTGTCACCCCTCCCCCGCTACCTGGGGATCCCCAGAGGTGTAGTCCTCAGGGCCAACAGCTAGGCAGACATTTTGGATAGGTTATTTAGATGCCTGTAAAGGAGGTGAGTGACTTGTTGAAAAAATTTTGGTCCCCAAGGCATGTTGGAAATAAAGAGGCAGGCAGACCCAAGTTCTGTGGTGTGTGAGCTGAGGGTGTGCCCAACTATGGCCTTGTGCATCTGGGCCCTTTCTCACACAGCTGTCCCAGAGGCCTCTGCACACAGGAGCAGCCCCTTATGGTCCCTATGGTACCAGACCTTGTATGGGCGTCCCACCATTCCGGTAGGCCTCCAGCCTGGCTGGCCCTGCCACTCCTCAGCTGAATCAGGGAGCCTGGCTCAGGGGCAGTGAAACACGCATAATATCAAATCAGGGGCCTCACAAGTGGTCTCAGGGGACCTCTTCCAAGCCTTTGGGTGTGGTCACATAAGCTGAGCTTTGCCGACATGTTTTGCCTTTTCCTTCTTGTGCCTCAGCTCACCCTGTATCTGGCAGGTTTTTAAATCCTAATGATTAGTTCTCCACACACACATCCTGCAAAAAGGAGTTGCTCAGAGCTGGAAGGGATAGCCCCATATAGGACTGGGGGGACAGGCAGAAACAGGGGGGTGTCGGCCCACTGGCCTGGGTCCTTGAGCCAGGTCTCCACACTGTGGCTTCGTTGTTTTGTTTAGGATTCTGAATTCCCTGATCATCAACCCTACCCAAGGTCAGATGTAAGTACCGAACATCTCCGAATCCAAGCTCGCATGAAGTTTTCTTCTCTCTTCTCTGGATTCTTCATATGAGTGCTCTTGTCACCTCTCTGTCCTGGCTCTATGTGCCAGGAACTCTGCTAGGTGCTTCAAACCGTTGCATAGAACCCTTGCCAACCCCTGGGAAGTAACTCATCCCCAACCCCAGTAGAGGCACAATTCACAAGCCTGAGGAGTGATAGAAACTGGAAAAGCGTGGGACATCCGCCATGTTTCTGTCTGTAGGCACGTCTGTAGTGAAGACCCATTGTTCTCCAAATACGCATTCACTACTATGTCTGCAGACTCTATTCTTAGCCACAGATGTCCATCTGGCACCCACCCTAGGAGTGAGGATAGAGGCTCACCCTCTCTCTAAAGGGAGATAACACTTCCTGCTACCTCCTCCTAGCTGGGCCTACACCTGAACTCCCACACAGTGTCTGCCCCTCACAGCTGGACCCTGCATACCTCTAGCCAAGTCATAAGGTCCAGGCACTCTCCTCCCTCATTGTGTTCTCTGGAGGCTAGGTCCGTGCCTCCTGCCTCTTGGTACCCCAGCACCTAGCACAGTGCCTGTCACATAGCGAGCTCTTGGTTCGTGTTGGGTATGGAGTGTGTGGCAGTATTGGTGGTGAGTGCTTAGTGGAGATATGTGTGAACGCCATGACACTAGTTGGTAAACTCATTCAACTTCCTTCTTCAGTAGGGAAAGGAAAGGAAAAACAAAAACAAAAACACAAACATTACATGAACCCGGAACTTCGCAGTTGTCGAAATCAAATCAATTGAAAAGCAGAAATGATAATGTTGTGGAAGAAACCTAAGTGTCAGGGTTTGTAACAAAGCAATGTGGCCAGACCTCCACCCCACCAGTGAGAAGGAAGACTCAGGGGTGAAAGGGTATCCATAGACATTGGGGTGTTCGGGCAATGCTGGTGCTTGAGAGACACAAAGCAGATGTAAACAAGTAAATAAGTCTCTGTCTTGTCCCTGTCCCTAGCTCTCTGACATATCTTCACTTAATCCTCATTAGTGACCCTGCAGGCCAAGTTCCATTATTCCCAACCAAAGGAAGGGAAACACAAGGTGAGTGCCTTGCCGAAGAGTGCGTGGCTGTAAGTGCCACCATAATGGATGAAGCCCAGCAGGTGGGCTTCCCACATCCCTGACAGGGCTCTGCTACCCAGAGACTTGAGGCTAAATTGGGAAGCAATTCTGCACCAGGGAGCCTGCCTTAGCATCCCTCACACACCCTCCTGGGATTATCCACCCTGCCTGACCCAGAAACAGAAGCCAGCGTATAAAGAAGGGCCCAGAACATGGCATCCAGCACTGAAGGGCCCTACTTTCTGTCTGGGCCAGACCCCTGCCCACTTACCCAGAACCTCCCTTCTCTGAGGAAACTTGGGAAGAACCACATGAATGCTGACAGCACACCATCACATTGCCCCCTCTGCTGAATGCCTTTGGCTCCGGGAATAACTGCCCCCAGTCTGCAGGTGTCATGTCACCCTCTTCAGTCAAGGTTAGGATCCAGGGGCTGGAGAGATGGCTCAGTCATTTAGAGCTTGTACCACTCCTGAAGAAGACAGAAACAAAACAGGTCAGACAACTCACAACAGCCTATAGCAACGCCTCTGGGCTGCACAGGCATTGCGCTTTTCATGACATATGTACTAACGGGCACAACATACACATCATTAAAAATAAAGGAATATTCTTTAAAGGCTAGGCTCCAGGGTCTAAATGGAGCCTGCTGGGCTCTGCCCAGTGTAGTACCTGTAATGTTCTTTACATGGCTACACCTGTCACCCTATCCTCCCTTTCCTTTCCACCCAGCTTAGCGTAAATATGAGCTCCCCACCCCCTGGCCCTTAAATGGTGGGACTCTGTGCGGTGAATTTGGCCTTAGAACTGCACAGTCAGATTTTGAGAGCTCTGGACTTTAAACTGGATCCCGGAGCTGACATTTCAGGCCTGGGCTGAGAAGAGGCTGAGTCCTCTGAAGTCCCCACCTGGGGACTGTCATCAGACCTGGAACTGTCTGTCACCTGGCTCCGACCCGATTCACCATGCCAGGCCGATTTAACCCTTTCCTCTTTGTTCGGTTTGTTTCCGTTTTTGTTTTATCCGTTTTCGGAGTGTCTGTAGTGGAAAGGTCTTCATTTTGTGTGGACGTGTGTACTTGTGAAACTGCCTCGGTAGAAGGCACCTAGTCTTCAGCCTCATGCGCCTGGGATACCTGTGCCATGGGAATACTCACTACCACATGCTTCCTATGGAGATGACTATGTAGCCCTACCCTGGCACATGTGTGTACACATACACACGCACACACACGCACACACGGTGCCTCCACTGCTGTTTTGGAACCCCCAAGCACCTCACTAAGATACCCTGTTTAGCTCCTGGACTTAGAATGGGGCCCTGAATGAAACAATGAATTTATCTCAAAATCCACACATCTCCAGGAAGATTCAAGAGTTGGAGCCTAAGGAGCATGTCTGGAGAGCAACAGCTCCAGATGGGAGCTCAGGTACTCCTGAGTGACCTCAGTGCTCTGGGCTTCCGCCTCAGGAGCTAGCAGAAGTTCAGGCTCAGACTAAAGCTGCTTTGCTGCAGTCTAGTGCCAGACCTGGTCTGGTGAGAGAGTGGAGCTGGGCCCAGGAGAGAACGCCTTAGCTTCTGCCCTGTTGCCACCACTCTCGGGTCTATAGCCATCCGCACACTGTCCACATGTGGACACGCAGACAGTCTCCTCCAAACTCCTTACTTCTCAAGCAGACCCTGTCCATGATGCCTTTCCCACCCTGTCCTCACGGAACCCTCCCTCTGCTTCCCTCTGTCTGTAGCTCAGCAAGACCTGAGGGTAGCCATGCCTAGGAGTGTAAAGATGCCTATCATTCACCTCGGAGTTACTCGTTTATATGCTGTTTTTCACTGTTCACTGGGGAACCCCTACCCAATACAGATTCTGCCTCCAGAGTCGCTCAGAAGGACTTCACTGATTCTTGTTTCTCCTCATTGGTTCTGCATCCTAGGTGGACCTCGTAGATGGGCATATACACAGACATTTTACACAATGGTGTAGTTTGTTTACACTGGTGAGCAAGTTTCCTCATGGGACGTCTTGTTTTCTCTTTCCCATTGCTCTCCTCTACCCTGCGTTTCTTGTCTCAGGGATTCTGATGTTGGCAAATCTTGAGCTTCTTTTGGACACATGCTATCATAGCCCTTCAGCCTTGTACCACAGATAGCTTGATTTTTTTTTAAGAACAGTTTCTTATGATAACTTCTATAAAATTGGCAAAACTCATCCAGTGTGCATCTCTTTAACTTAATGTGTGTATAACTCTCCTAAGGGTCCTTGCTGGCACTGGGAAGACATGGGGTTTGCTGCAGACAAACCTTCCCGACTGATCTTTGTCCTGGGAGATGTGAAATGTGCCCATGTTTTTAAACAAGGAAGCAAAGACCAACAGAGCTAAAGAGACTCTCCTAACGGTGATTCCACTAGCTTGGAGCAGAACCAAAGGGGCCCAGAAGCTCTGCCTTTCTAGGGCACCCTGAAAGTGACTTGCATTAGAAAGAAAAATTGGGAGGCTGGAGGGGTCTTATATATAGGACATGTTTCTGTGTGTGTTTGTATGTATCTCTGTGTGTATGTTTGTGTATGCACATGAGAGTATATGTATGTCTTCTAACACTATGGCGAATAATACCTGTCAGTCCATGCACTTGAGTCTAATTCCATCAAAAGCATTTTTTTAATGTTTTTTGACTTTACAACTATCATTTAAATAACTGTAGGGCATCTGTCATCATGACTAAAGAATGATTTACTAAAGAGTCCTTTTCACGTATTTCCCCTTAGAAATAACACAGTGACTAACACTTCACATAGGTCAGAGTGTATCGCCACCTCTTTCCTCTTTCCACTCCACTCCTAGGAGTGAAGTAAATTAGGTGACTATTTTCAGTATTTTTATCACAGAAAGAAAAGGTATGCTGTTTCCACCTCAAAATCTCTCTGAGAGAATATATGTTAATTTGTGTCACTCACATTATACATCTCTCAAATATGGTAATATATATCAAGGCAAGGGGAGACTGAGGCCGGAGATTCATAGATTTGAGACCAGGTTGGGTGACAGAGTAAGATCATGACTCGAGAAAACTTCAGTAGTGAGATCCTTTAAAGCTGTAAAAATGACTCATCAACCACAAGCCGTTCGAAGATGTTCCCAAAAGTTTACCCAAGTACACTTAAAAGAAGCATCATGAGCAATGGTGGAAAGCTAGAAATAACCAAATCATGCCTCCATTGAAAACTAAATAAGCTAATTAGGTTGCATTCATAACATAGAAAGGTATGTAAATAAAATACAAGGGAAGGCTGGGGTGGAATTCCATAGTAGAGTGCCTAGTGTATGCAGAGCCCCTGGGCCCTACCCCTACCAAAATGAATGAATGAATGAATGGTAGCTCTCTGTGTCCTGACATAGAATTTTAAACATATTAATTTATATTAAGGCCTTCTGTGTGAAGTATCAACAGTCTACATGTCCAGTAAGGTACATACAATTCAGTGAGGCCTTGGCCACTTAGAAATAAGAGGCAGAATGGTGACCCTTAACAGGAAGGTTGGGTTGTCACTCCAGAATCCTACCGGCATTCTACCGTTCCCTCCTTCCAGATGTTAGAAACAGCGGCACTGAACCCGTCCACCCTTTGGTTGGGAATGCAAAAGCTCTGAGACTTCTGTGGCTCTGAGAGGTGGAAAGCAGTGCTCTGAGGTCGCAGGCACCTGGGCTGGGATTCTGGTGCTGTATACAGTAAGCTAAGAACCCCTGGACAAGTTCCTCACCTTCCCTGGTTTCCTAGGAACAGCCAGGGTCTTTGTGTGCATGGTAAGAGAAGAAGCTTAAGACGCTGAGCCAGCATCTGGCTCCAGGTCAAGAAAATCCCATATATCTATGATCACCACATCCCCAGACCTGTGGAGCCTGGAGGGGCATCCAGGGGTCACAGTCAGGCCTGGGACAGCTGTTTCTCCTCCTAAACACACGGGGTACAGTAGCCATGGGTTGACCACTCTGCACTTCCCGGAAGGGACTGTTAAAATTTTAAGAACATGTGGTTTTCTATCATGAGATTTGAACTTGGGCTTACCAGTCCCATAGATGCCTCAGATGGTGCTCGGAGTGAAGAGGAGGCTGCCTGGTGCCTGGACGGATCTCCACAGCCTCACCAGCCTCAGCCTCACAGAACTCCCTACATAGGGATCCATTGCGTAACCGTTTCCCATAGCTGACAGTCACTGAGATGCCTGGTGGGTTTGGGGGGAACTTCTTAGCCAATAGGGCCATGGTGAGGATTCTCTTCAGGATGCCTGTCTCTGTTGTCACCTTGAGCAGCCTGCTGGCCATCCGAGCAGCCATAAGGCTTCCGCGTGTCCCTGAAGGGGCTCCCAGCCCTTCCCATGTTGTTCTGTGTGCAGCTGCAGCCATCAGTACACTCCTCTTAAATCGCTTATCTGTCATTGTTAGCTGTGTTTGGCTCACACCGTGCTCACCTTCTTCACTGCAAGTGTGATGAGAGCTTTCATGTTCTGTAACAATGCAGGCCAGCTACAGCTTTTTTTTTTTGCTTGAGCTGAACTAAGCAGTTTTATCTGCATATGTCTAAAAGACTCAAGTGCAGCATTGAGCTCAAGTAGTTACGTAAAATTCGATGAAACCCCGGTAGCCACATAATTACACAGAAATGAACACCTCTCCTCTCTCTCTCTCTCTCTCTCTCCCTCCTGCTCTCTCATTTGCTTCTACTTGATCAAGTGCATTTCTGCATTAATTAAACAAGTACACAAATAATTACAGCAAATGAACAAGAAGAAAGTAGTCACTGACCGGATATTCATGCCCTTGGTCTAAAGCGAGATGTTCTGTGTTGCATTAGGTAGAAACAGCCACGGATTCCGACACGGAGAGCAGAGGCCTACGGGAGTACCACTCTGTTGGTGTGCAAGTAGAAGATGAAAAGCGGTAACTCCCCCCTTCAGAGTGGCCGTGTCCCCCCAGCCAGCTGCTTGCTAAACACTGGGCTGCAAGATTCCCCATCTCTCTGCACTGGCCGACAGTAATTCACGCTGCCTGCGGAGACAGGCCATTCATTCATGCTTCCCCCATTTATGTCGCTCAAGTAGGAATGAACATGGGGCATGCCTTGATCTTTTATAGGAGGGAAGGGAATAATTCTTTCTAAAGTAATTTACCACCCATTAAAATAGCATCATAGCTCACAGCCCTGGAAGGTCAAAGTCCTTTATCCAGAAGCCTTTTTCAAAACAGAGAGTGGGCTGAAGGCAGGGCAGATGTGTTTCTCACCTTATAACGATGACAATACACCAACAGGTAGAAAGAAGCGGGAGAAGGAGCCCGAATGTCAGCTATGTCCTGTAACTGTCTCATTTCAGAAGTTTTACCTAGAAGTACAGAATACAAATGTGCATGTGTGGGTGTGGCACTATTTTGAACCAGGGCAGAAAAAACATTTTCCTGGTATTAAGTAAAATAATTGCTAGCTACACAAAAGCAGAAAGTACTGGGCTCTACGTTGATAGCCTCAGGTGCCCTCTCCTGTGCTGGGGGGGCAGTCCGTCCCGAAGAGTCTCAGAATCTAACAGGAAAGACCTGGACTGCAGGGAAATTCACAGTATCACCTAAAGCTCTACAGAGCGCATTGCTTTATACATAGGCCGCAGTTCATCAACCTAGCGTGTCGCTAGAGCAGCAGTTCTCAACCTGTGGGTCGCGACCGCCTGGGGTGGGTTTGCATGTCAGACATCCTGCATTTCAGATATCTACATTACAGTATGTAACAGTAGCAAAATTACAGTTATGAAGTAGCAACGAAACTACTTCATGTTGGGCGTGACCACAACATGAGGAACTGTATTTAAAAGGTCACAGCATCAGGAAGGTTGAGAAACTGCCCTACCGCCACTGAAAACCACTCTAACTCACCCAATATACTTGAGTGGTAAATGGGTGTTAGCTAGAATTTGAGTTAGGTTGATATCGAAGTCCATTCATTTGTCACGCTCTGTGTTCCCCACAGTGGCGCTCAGCGTAGATGGTTGGGCTTGCAAGTGGGTGTTAGTGCTGAGGCTCAGGGGTGTCCCCATGAAGGGCCCGGGGGACAAGACTGCATCTTTCCTCTGTCCTTCCCTCCTTTTCCAGGCATGGCCGTTTCAAGCGCTCCAACAGTGTCACGGCTGCTGTGCAGGCTGACTTAGAGCTGGAGGGCTTCCCTGGACATATCACCATGGAGGACAAGGGCCTGCAGTTCGGATCCTCCTTCCAGCGCCATTCAGAGCCCAGCACCCCGACCCAGTATGGGGCACTGAGGACTGTGCGGACGCAGGGCCTCTTCAGTTACAGGGAGGACTACAGGACACAGGCGGACACGTCTACCCTGCCACCCCCGGATCCCTGGCTGGAGCCATCACTGGACACGGTGGAGGCCGGCAGGATGTCTCCGTGCCGAAGGGACGGCTCATGGTTTCTGAAATTGCTGCACACAGAGACGAAGAGGATGGAAGGCTGGTGCAAGGAGATGGAGAGGGAAGCAGAGGAGAATGATCTCTCCGAAGAAAGTAAGAATTTGACTCCCCCACCCCCACGCCAGTAAGTTAGACTGGTAACTTCTCAGCGAGGCAGATGAACAAATGACAACATCAGGAGGGAGACATCCCTTCCACATTTGAGCAAATGAAAGCAAAGCTGCTCTCAGCTGCCCCCCTACTCAACCCCATGAAGCAGTATAAAACATGAAAAGAAAAGCCGTTGTCCTGTCCTGTGGGACATGCTCTTCCTCCAGATTTGTTTTGCTTCAATCTGTGGGTTGAGGATGAGATTAACCATGCTAACTCTGCCCCAGTGGTGTGCTTCCACTCAGATTCCACTAACCAGTTCTCTGATGACTTAATTTGGAGCATTATTATTATTTAGCCTGTTTTTATAAGCCCTGGCATCATGCCAAAGAAACACTGCTGCTAAGCAAAAATTCACCACTGCAGGGTGAAGAAGGACTCTGCCCACAGGACCCTCAGTTGAGCATACCCAATGCTGACCCATCAACCCCCAGGCTGTCAGGTCCCTGCCTCTCTACACAAACAGTAGAAGACTCATGCTCTGCCTCCCTCTCTTTTAGTTGAAGAGATGTACTAGCAAGAAGTGGAATCAAGTGGCATAATTTGGAAATGTAGTTTCTAGAGGTTGGGGTAGCAAGGGGAAAGGAGAGAAAGAGGGAAAAAAGATAGAAAAGGAGAGAGACAAGGAAAGGGGATGGTGGAAAGAATGAGATAGGGAGAGAGAAAGGAATGGAGGGAAGGAGGACTAGGGGGAGGAGAGAGAAGAGATAATAATGGAGGAAAGAAAGGGAATAAAGTGTGGAGAAGGAAGGAGAAAAGAGGGAGGGACAGATAATTTAGGATTCAGAAATAAATAGTTGTTTGTCTATAAACCTACCACTTCTGAAATCGGCAAGCAAGGAAAATGGATTCAGTTAATTTGACAAAATAAGGAAGAGCAAGCTCCTGGCTTTTCTCAGCTTTTTCTTTAACAATGTCACGTTTATAGAAAAGATGAAGCAAAGGCCAGAAGATGTAAGCGTGCCCATGCAAGCCGTCACAGAAGCATGTAAAGCCTCTTCCTTCCACATGAGGTCTTCCTTTGGCTGGCACACCAAACTTTCCCTTCCACCATGTAGGAATCTTGGAAATTTTTAAAAATTCTTTCGAGTTCATTAATCTGACCAACAAAAGGAGGGGCATAAATGTCTTTGGACATACATGTCCTCTGCCAGGAGAGTTACATTGTTTGAACTCATTCTACTACATTCTAAAGGTTCCAATCTGCCTTTGGATATGCAAATGTGGATACAGTGGTTGTTCTGTTTGTAAAATAACAGATAACACCTTATTTTGTTTCCCATGCTATGATACACCTTTCCCATAGGTTATACATTCTTGAAAGGCAGTGTTTATTGGCCACATACTGCCTGCCAGGTCTATGCTAAGCATGTCACATATGTCCCTTAGTACTCATCATGATGAGATGGAAGGTGACATTGCCAGGAAAGCTTGGAAGGTGCTGGGGCTCCCTGTCACCTATTGCCCAGCCCCAAGCTGGCTTTTGCACAGCATGTTTACAGTCTCTGATTCTGGAGGCATCCTCACTCTGTCCACTTTCTCTTGTTGTTCCAGAAAATATGGACACCCCCAAACCAGTATGTGTTTTTGATTCATCACTGCAGCAAGACACCATTTGTGGTCCATGAAGAATGCCTAGGCTGATAGAACACAAAAGGTCATTATGACAGGGATGAGGAAGTACAAAGAAAGGAGATTGGTTCTTAAATAAAAAACAAAGGCCTAGGAATGAAAGGTTTTCAGGCTACTGCATGGTTACAGGTTAGGGGAATCCAAGAAAACTATGGATTTCCTGTTGTGTCACAGAAGTGTTTATGTGCAGCTGAAGGGGCTGTAGGATCCATCATCAGAGCTATGAGGTGTGTGAGAGCTCTGTGCCTGACGGCCACTGGCTCTGGGAAGCACTCCCCTCTAAGTCAGCTATAGATCAGAGTAAACTACTTCCACCTCCGGGTTTTAGCTTCTCCAATATACTATTTAATTGGGGGTTGGGAGGTCATTAGGATTCTTCTCGATTCTTTCAGCAATGTTTATGCTCAGCAAGAGTTTACTAGGTATTCACATGGGCAAGTGAGTAGGCCAAATCCTGGTAGGCCAAAATGCTTCAAAAAATGAGTGGGCTTCAGCATAGAAGGTAAGAGTGAGGGGGAGATAGGATCAGAGGCCACAGGCAGCAATAGCAAGATGCCAGGATAATGAGAAAAATGTGGATAAGATTCGTAAAACCCAAGAGATCCAAGAGGTACTTTCCATGAGAAAACTCCTAGGTGACTTTGTGGACAAGGTGGATTTGTGCCATACTCTGGTGGCCCAGAAAGCAGATGGGGCCAAAAAGAGAGAGAGAGACTCAGGGCACAAAGGACACAGAGCTTAGAAGCAGGAGCCCACGAGGACCGCCACTTAAGCGTCCCCCTTTGCACCTGCCTGGCAGAAGCATCATTCTGTAGCATGACAGGCTCGATGTCTCTCGAGGGTTGTCTTTGCACCATCCTGGTGATTTCTGGGTTTAGGGTGTTTCATGCATCCGTGTCACCTTGCACGGAGGACTCTGCAAACAACGATTGGAAAGAAGAGGGGGGAGGTGGGGAAGTGGGCAAGCTGGTGTGTGTCCTCGTCGGTAGGGAGGGAGCATCGCATGGCCCTAACCCTGAAACGGCAGCTAAATGGTCTTGGCTGACATGTTCTGTCCTCCCCTGAACATGACTTCAATGCTGTAAGCCTTGATCACAGAGGACAGGGTGTAGAAGCTCCCATCCACCCCTAAGTTCTAATCTCCTGGACACTTGTGTCTTCTTGTGAGCAGCGAAGATGGGATTGTGGCTGTACCTCCCACTCGCCATGATTTGCACATACAGCTATCCCTGTATGTACAATCAAGGTCACATGTGTCCCTAGTAATGTTTAAAAGTAAGATAACCTCCAAGTGTAGTTCTTATTTTAGCAGCAGTCATTGGTCTTTTAAAATTAAGATTAAATTAAATGGCTTATTAAGCCAAAACTCTGAGCTCCGAATATTGAAATTTCCATCACAGGAAATAATTCTTGCCCAAACTATAATTTTGTAATCACAGTTCACTGAACTGATTGAATGGATCTAGATTTACTCGGTGCTGTGTGGCTAATAGAGGCTAGCCTGAGCCAAATACAGATGGGTTCAGGTTAAGCGCAGGCCTCCCACGTTCAATACAAAAATGGAAATATTTAGGAGATAATGAAAACTACTGCAAAAACTAGAGTTTGAGAATTTTCATATTAATTAAACAAAATGTGTAAGGACATGAAATGAAACCAAAACTTACTAAGGTATTTGAAACAAACAAAAATGTTCTAAATATCTTGTTCAATGACCGCGTGGAGCTGGGGCTCTCTCAAGACCTTCAGAGAGGACTTGTACAGCGAAGTCTTGTGATAGGCATTGGGCTCCTTGTCTACAGACACCTGCTCACTTAAACATTCCCCAGTTGGATGCCGAGAGCTCAGGCAATCAGAGAGACCTTGAGAGATCAGACGACCCAGATCCTCCTTTATGGTCAGGACAAATGCCCACCAGTGTCACAAGCCACATAATACCAGAGCAGGATCAGATTCCTGGCATGGGATCTCCCAGCCCATGTTCCATGAGGGGCAATAATTGTCTGTGGATGGGAATGTCCAGGTGCAGAACCTAGGTAAGGAGTACAAAGCTGAAGAGAAACTGCCCCTGTCTCTACTTGGCCAAGCTGTCTGAAGCAGATGGAAGAGAAAACAGAAGAGTGGAAGCAATGATGGCCTCTGGGCAAACCAGATTCCAGGGTACAAACAGCAGCATTAAGTATGGGAAGGATATGTGAGTGTTATCTGTATGTCTCTGTGGAAGCTGCTGGGATACCCATTGCTTGTAGATTTATGGTAGGAGCCAGGCCAGAGAGTAGGCCCAGTTGGGGGACCAGACTGGAGATGTCATCAGCTGCCTAGAGTCTTACTGAGAGTATGAGAGGAGACTGTGAGGAGCCAACCAACCAAGTCATATGTTCAGGACCCGAAAGAGACCTGAAATAGATGAGACCTGGGGCCTGAAGGAAAATTTTGGGGAGCAGTTATCCACCTCTGATGACACAAAATTAATGACTGGAAAATCCCAAGACAACCTGTCAATACCAAACAATCCTTGTAAACTATGCAAATTTCATAAAAGTCCATTTGGAATTTTAGAATGGTTTCGGCATTTTATAGCATGGTTTTCATAGAAATTATTCATGTGAAAAATAAGTCCAAAGAGCCAAGTTAGCTAATCAATTTTAATTTTTTTTGTACACCAAAGGCCAGGGTTATATCAGGTTCTTTGAAAATTTTCATTCTGATTAGTACCAGTCCTTATCTATGGCTCTTAAGAGGACACTGTTGAAACTCGGACAAAATTAGGCAAGTATAATGGTAAAGAAGAAATTGAATTTTCATTTCAAATTCCCTGCAATTACAGGAAGCTATTTACAATATAGGTCTCAGATACGATCACTCCCATTCAGTAAGTGGCCAAATTCAGCTACCATTAGCAGCTGCTAACACGCTTTATCTCCCTGGCACTGCTTAATTTATACCTGTGACAATAACTGCAGCGCATTAATCCATACCAACAGCTGCTATATATTCACATTGTGCTAAAGATTATAAATTGAAGTCTTTTATAGATACTTCAGTTAAATTCCATTTTAAGAGGAATAAAAAGATCAGGTATTTCGGCTTCAAATTCTGTAGACAGAATCAGCTTTGTGTTACAACTTAAAGAAACAAAGTTAGTAAAATAAACACTATGGCCTCAACCCATGGCTTCTGTGACTTCATAAGAACAGTTTGATTAAAATGAGCCCTTTTCAGTATTATCAATCATTCGTTACAGGATACAATGAAACAGAAATTCCACCTCCCAGAAACGAAGTAATCTTCTTCTGGACCAAGTTAATCATGCTCCTGTAGGGCATGTGGTGTGAATAGGGGATGGTATATTTTCTGTCCCTCTTTGAGACTCTGTTCCAAGTCCTGCCCACCTATACCCCTCTGTCCCTACATCACCCCCACCTTACTACATGCCTGAACCCAAATCTGAAAATCTCAATTTCCAAGAGTCTTGAGCAGTGGCATGATTGGACAAGCGGAAAATTCTACCCCTGACCTCGTGGGAGAGGGCACAGGCAAAGCATGAGTGCACAAAAGCTGGTATCTGTGGAAGCAGCTGCAGCACGCATGATGGCATTATGGAGCCTAGGTGAATCAGCTGGTCAAACTTGGGTCCATCCCTCAATACCTCCTTATAGAGAAGCAAATATCCCAAACTCCAAAATAATCTGAAATTTACCATCGCCCTTCCCCAAGCATTTATCAAAAGGGATGTTGGACCTGAGCCTCCTCCCCTCTCCTAATTCTTCCTATCACAATATGGAATACATCAAGACCTGGAAACTCCCATTTTCCTGAGGCTAAAAGGATAAGCAGTATGGCTTCATTTGCCACTGTACCTTTTTTAACATCCTTGAAACAATCTAGAACTGGACCATATCAAGCAGTTCATACCTTCTCTGAACTGAGATGTGTGTGCTTCAACACCATGAAAATGACGTGTTGGCTAAAGCATGTTTCAGGCGGCTCACGAGTGTGCCGTCACTTGCAGCCTCTTGCGTTGCTGTTAAGAGAAACAGACGGGGGTGCTTATCAGACTTTTCTTTCTAATTTCACAGCATAGAATTTTGTATGAACAGTTTCTAAGGAATAAAAATCTACCAAAGAAGGAAGAAAGAGAGAGAGAGGAGAGAGAACACCCAAATCAGAAGTGTTTAATCACCTCAAGAGTACACGGTTTTCAGTGGCAAACCCTGGCTTGAACAGGTGAAGGATGCCTTCTGTATGTGACCCTGTGATTGACCTCTGAGTCACCAGGGCTTAAATTCCCTCTCTTCTCAGGTCACTACTTTTCAACAGGCTCATAGCGCTTGTCTGAGCACTGTCTTTTCTCTCCTCAAGTCAGGCTAAGGAAGAGTATGGAAGCAGCTACAGTTGCCTATCAGGTCAGAATTTTTGATGCCAGCTTTTGGCATATGGAGGATGTCTCTTTCTGCCTTTGCATTCTTGGTGTTCAAACCCACTCCTCCCTTAATTTGAACAATGGACTTTTCCACTGAATGCATCCTCAGCCCTTACATAATTGGCCCTGGGACCGGTTGCAGCCATCACTGGTCTTTGGGGAGTTAGCCATCAAGGAGTAGAGATGCAGGAACTGAGTTTGTGTCCCTGAACCTACCTCGATTTTGTCCCTTAAAATGACACCTGGGCTGTGATGGGAGAGCACCACAGACTACCATAGGTCCTGCTTGTTAGTCCTTCACTGACCAGAACAGTCTTTTGACTTTATTAGAAAAAGCCTCAAGAGTGTGAATAGTCAGTTGAAATGCACAGCTCTCCAAAGCATAGCAATGGGCCTCCTGCCTCTGCTTTCCTGAGGGATAGAACTCCAGGACACTCATGCCCCTTGTCCTTGGCTACTTTCCCCCAGACTGGGTACATAGCAGACAGGTACTAGCCATAGCTCACTTCCAGAACAGCCTAGGGGATCCAACCAGCACACCAGCAATGGTTTGTTTCAAGTACTTGGTGGATATCTGTGCTCAATGAGAGAGCTTGAAAGAGAAACTTCATAGGTGGCAACTAAGCCTGATAATCCGGTAGTGACACGAAAGAGAAGCCCAACTGCATTGTGTGAGTTCTGAGGGTGCCCTGTGAGCCAGAGCTGGAGAGGGAGATAAAAGCAGGAAGAAAGGTTCCCGTTGACTCCTGAAGGTTCTGAGGCCCCATGTGAGTTGGGATCCACAAAGCTACTGTTTTCAGAATGCTGCTGCACACACAGAAAAGCGGGGGTGGGGAGGGCAATGAGGAAGTTCAAGGGTTTGTTGGGGCAGGAGGCAGAGCTTTTCCCTTATATTTTCTTAGACAAAGTCTTCCATTTTCCCAGTCTAAATCTAGAAGCTGTCACGACGTGTTAAATCCTTTGCGTGGATAAAAACATATTCTTTGCTATTTTTAATAATAATAATAATAATAATAATAATAATAATAATAATAATAATAATAATTGGCTTACCAAATAAAGCCATTGAGGTTCAGGAATCCTTTGTAGTGGAAGCTGAGTCCTACTGGAGGCATGCTTACTCAGATAGCATTGACCCCACAAAGGGGCGTGATAAGCCAGTGAGTCTGACCTACTGTGTGGTTCATGACCCTTTGCCTGATGCTGAGGCATGCCATGGCCTTCCTGTGTGGCTGTCTTCTCTGTAGCTCCTCCATGTCTGAGACACAGCTCATGCAATTGCCAGAGATAGCTACCCACAGTTCATTGGAGTATTTACTTGAATCCAATGAGATGGCAGATACCAATGTGCATTTCTCAAAATTGAGGAGTTACCATTGGAGTATTAGTCACTGGGGTCTTCTGTCCATGGCTGCTCAACAGGGACTCACCTGAGCATCAAAGCTAAATAAACTTGAGATGCAAAAGGAGGAGATCCTATAGTGTCCCACATCCTACTGAGCTAACTCATCGCCAGTACATGGTTGGAGTGGCAACACCCTCATGGCATTTGGTTGTCTTTGTGTGTCCTCATGAGCTGGGAAGGAATGGCAACTTCAGCTGATGGATGTGTTCAGCATGGTCCACACTAAGGTCCAATGCCAGCAAAAAAGCCTGAATAGCAGTGCTAGCCCCAGCTCGCTGGACACAGGGCGTTCTGGCTTTTGTTACGACTGACAGGGTCCTAACTTTCCCCGTGTCTCACAGTTCTAGGGAAGATCAGGAGTGCTGTGGGAAGTGCTCAGCTGCTCATGTCCCAGAAGTTCCAGCAGTTTTATTGGCTTTGTCAGCAGAACATGGTGAGTAGTCTCACAGCCCCATCCCATAAGTGCTGAGGTGGGTTTGGAATGCTTTCTCCTAGACCCCTTGCTACTGTCCAGTTGCTGTGACAGGACGCCATGACTGAGGCTACTTATAAAGGGGAGTTTACTAGGGGCTCACAGTTTCAGGGGGTTAGCTCATGATTGCTGTGGTGTGCAGCATGACAGCAAGTGGGCAGCCACGACACTGGAGCAGTAGCTGACAATTTACGAACTGGGACAGAACCCCCAGGAGGAGAAAGGGCTAGCCAGGAATGGCAATGGTGTGGGCTTTTGAAACCTCATGGCCAAGCCCCAGTAACACCTCTCTGCCAACAGGACCACACCTCCTAACCCTCATCCAAACAGTTCAACCAAGTTCAAACAGTTCAAACATCTGAGCCGATGGGGGACATTCTCATTTAGACCACCACAGTCCTCACTGGTTGAAGTGCCCTCTACAGGAAGAGAGGGGTGAGGAAGAACATAGCCCAGCCCTAGCTCTGGAGACCCACAAATTATCCCTGATGAGCCATACTTGTCAACCTTAGGGACATACACCCCACCTTGGGGCACTATACCCTTGACCCTGGAAACACACCCAAGGCTCAGAAGCCCACACATCTTGCCCTAGGACCTACACTTCAGCTCTAGAGACCCACGCACATAGCTCCAAGGACCAACATGACGTCTTAGGGATCTGCATTCCACCCGTGACTCACAGACTTGGCCCTAGTTACCTACAGGAAGGCCCTAGCATCTCACACCTTAGGCCCAGGTTCCAGCTGGGGCATGCGGAAGGGAGGGGGGTTTTGACTGTACCTCCATCACTGGAGGAGTAAATTTCAGAAGAGGAGGTGGGGAATGAGTAGCTGTGATAGCCAAGGTCACAGATAAAGAAAATCATGTATGGGGGTGTCGAGCAAAGACACATATTCATGTGAAGAGACTAAGAAGAGATCTTAGAAGTCATTTGGCCTTTGCATTTCTTATAGTCAGGACAGAAATTACTATGTCTTGAGCTACATTTAGGAATGAAGTTGGCATTGATCCTGGGCCTTCCTGGCAAAGAGAGGAGAAACCCACTCTATATCTATGTCTATTTATATATGTTTATGTATGTATATATGTATGTGTATGTATATTTATATACCTGCATGTATATTCATGCATACTAATCTTCATATATCAACATATGCATGTACCCATTTATTGTACACACACACACACACACACACACACACACACACACACACACACACTGCTTGGTTCTTATCTGACCAAAATACTCATATGATTCCATGAGAAACAGTTGGATTGTGTCCATAGCTATTCATAGGCAGTTTTACAATCCAGACACTTAATACCAAACATTTTCCATAAAGGCGGAAGCCTCTGCTGGGCTTGTCATGGCAAAGGCAGCAGGCGTTCCGACCATGTTTCTATGGAGACACGGAACTTAAAGTATGTTTCAATGCATACGCACAGCATGTTCCGCACATGTTCAGGCGCACCTCCCTCCCCTGGAGCCGCAGGCCCAGTCCTTCGTTAGGGTCATCACGGGCTGTGTTTTCTCTAGCATTTTTCTGTTAGCCCATTAAAGTTCATCATGTGGTTTAGTGTTACAGTATGGTTCCTCCAGCGTGAAGCTCTGTCAGCATTTAAAGGGTGATCTGGAAGGTTTGCCACCTTGGAAGATGAAGCTGGATAAATGTTTGGCTATTACGTGGGGCACTGCCTTCCCCCGAATATACCTTTGCAAGATTGGTGTGACCATCAGGAACGCTACGTGCTGGGTAGCTGTAGTCAGGGCGGCCGGGGAGCCTCTGAGGCCTCTCAAACAGATCATGCTGCACCAGGACACAGCTTACCCTGAGTCTGGGAAATGCTCACCTCTTGTGTACCAGATGCAGCTGTCTTCACTTTGAAATAATCTACCCTGACACCAGTGCTTTAAAGCTCAAAAACACCTGGTTGGCTATTTTCTTTCCTCTTGGCTTCTCTTTGGGATCTCTGAGACCCTTGTTGGGGAATGGTATAGGGAGACACAGGCAGAAAACAGCAGCATGTTTTTTCTCATAGTTGTTCATGATCGCCGGGGACTCTGCTAACGGTAGACATTGTGGGTAGTTTGCCAGTCTTTAAAGTCTAAGAAATGACCCTAAGGAAAGTCAGACCCTCCACCCACCCCAGCTGTCTTCAAATTGTGCAAGGGTGGGCAATTTGTGATGTAGCCATAGTGTAGCTATCCCTCTCCACACACTCAAACAGAAGAGGACAGAAAGCCAGGTCTCTTAGAAGGAAGCTTTCACTGCCAGAGGCAGCGGTCAGCAGGGACGGATGTATGGATAGATGTCTCCCTCTACTGGTTGAATATAAGAACAGGCCCAAACAGCAGAGCCCAGCTCTGGATCCCACTTAGGAGAAAATGACACTCATTATGTGAGTTCACTCTCTACCCTGTGACCCTCCCTGGTGGCACAGGCTATTATTTTGCTGCCTTCGAGGATGTAATGGTGCCTAACAGGTATCGTTTCCATGTGAGCCTCAAGTCGGGCTAAAGAAATTGTGAATGAAACAATGTTCAACTCGAACTACTGATGCTGGACAGTTTAGGCACATTCAGACAGACGGCTAACGGACGAGGCAACCACACACTGAGTCAAGGGAACGACACACAGAACTGGCACTCAGTTGTCAGAGTAGGAACCAGTTGGACCATACACTGTGCAGAAATAAGGTGCATCCTTATTCCTGAGGACAAGCCCAGGAGCTGCCTGTGCGTGGCTAAGAGGCGCCCCTAGGGCAGGCTAAGTTCAGCGAGGGGTGGGGGTGGGGGTGTTCTCGAAGCCTGTGTTCCTTCAAGAGACTGACTTGACTCTAATTGGGAGGAAACTAAATTCACATCACCTTCTGAAGTCACACTTGATCTTGGGGACCAGAGAGCCAGGACCCATCAAAATAAGCACAGTGAAAGAAATGGCTGCAATACCAGTGGCCTATCCCTTCTGCTTAAGACACAGGGCTCTCCTGCTTCCATGAGCTGAAAACTATTAGAAGGACGGAACCCAGGGGGTACATACTAGAGTACTTGCCTAGTACTCTACCACCGAGCTATATTCTGGGGTTTTCAAGCTGAAATGCTGACTGGGTGTGCTACATATGTTTAAGCTATTGGCACGTGCCTGAGCTAAGATTGACTTTTATGGGGTCACATAGGGTCTCCTGCCTCATTTCAAATGAGTGGAGCCCCTCCTGGTCTGATTCCTTGAGCAGCAGACATAAGACAGAGCAGCCCCTGTAATTCGCCTGTGTGTCCGCAGGACCCCAGCGCCATGCCAAGACCAACGTCACAGGACCTAGCTGGCTACTGGGATATGCTACAGCTGTCCGTGGAGGATGTCAGCATGAAATTTGATGAGCTGCACCAGCTGAAGCTCAATGACTGGAAGATAATAGAGTCACCCGAAAGAAAGGTATGAAGTCACGTGGCCTGGCAGTATGAGCATCATACTTGTGGGCTTCTGATGTCTGCTCCAGTGCCAGGTGGTAGCTAATGTCTAATGTCTCCTTCTTTAGTTATTGATACAGATCAAATTTCGTGTGTGTGTGTGTGTGTGTGTGTGTGTGTGTGTGTGTGTGTGTGTTGCAAGCCCATACATAAGTGGACAGGACTGCAGTCCTGTCTGCAGTACACAGACATCTCAGAGATACCAATAAAGATCCCTACATCTATAATCTAGTTTCCTTCAGGAATAAATCCTGACTCATTTTCATCCAACTTCTGTTTGGACTGTATTTAGATGATCTCCCACAGGTAAGATCTGAGGTCTGGCTAAGATGACAATCTTCTATTCAAATATTCCTTCCTGGTACATGTAGGGAGCTAAGGACAAGACAGAATTTAAGCCTTTTTTTGATCAGTCTGAGGGTGTGCCCGTCCTGTGGAGCTTCATCCTTAAATAGGCTGAAAATTTGCATTAGATCTGAATGTTGGCTCTGGGCTCTGTGATGATGTCATCTCAGGAGAGCACTAGAAGACAGTCCAACTCAGCAATATGAACATCGACTTACAAGCCCTCTAGAGAAGTAATCATGGTCTGAATTTTCTAGACAGATATAGTCCATTAAATTAAGTTATACAGCAGGAGGGGCCAGTGGTGATGATGTTTGCCACCCAGCCTAAAGCTCTGAGACTGGTCCAGGGGTCTACATGGTGGAAGGTCTAACTCTACAGATTGTCCTCTGACCTCCACAAACGTACTGTGGCGTGTGAACACACACACACACACACACACACACACACACACACACACACACATCCATACATATGCTCACTAATTGAACGTGTCTCCTTTAAGTTCCAGTTAGATGTGGCAGCATATGCCTGAATTCCCAAGGCTTGAAAAGCCAGAGCAGGGGCTTAAGTTTAAGGCCAGTCTGGAATAAATAGTGAGGCTCTGTCTCAAAATGAAATAAAATAAAGTCACATTGAAAATGGATTAGTAAAAGTTTGGGGAAGTACCGTTTTAGGTGTAGACGAGAATGAATAGCTATGTGGTTAGAATGAAGGCCGGTGAGGGCATTCGTCACGTGGACTTCCTAAAGACAATGCTGGTTGGTGGCTAGTGAGGTTTAAAGCCAATAGCCTCAGGTGTCCCCAGGGACAGTGAACAAACTCCTCTAGCAGATAACAGGCGGCAAGCCCACACTACCTGTGATTTTGACGAAAGAAGACAGCACACAAATGGGATGATGAACGCAGGCATGCAGCACACATCCTGGAAGCTGCCCCTGAAGTCTGTATCCCTATGGGACTGAGAGCAGGAAGAAGCCCACATGGACCAGGCCTCTTGTGAAAGGTCTTCTTGCTCAGGGTACTCACCCTAGTGCAGAGCAGCAAGCTCACACCATAAGGAAAAGTCTGTCCCTTCTAGGGGCCTCTGGAGACAAGGTTCTGAGCACTGAAAGGTTCTTATCTCCCTTGTCCCTCTGCTGCAGCCCGTAGGCTCTGAAGCCCCTGGGAGTAAGCAAAAGGGAGCTCACTCACGGGACATGTTTCTCACAGAGCAACTGAAAGATGAGGAACAGCTGCGTGCTTCGCGTGGCAGCTGCATTTCTAAGTAGTTTAAGAGGCACACTAGGAAGTCAGGGATGAGTCATAGCTTCTGGTCCACATGTCAGATACCAAGACAGCATCTCACCTTTTCCAACATCAGGGACCACTGTGGGCATGGGCGCATGCTGCCCTGCTTCCTGTACCAAACACACATGTGGAGACTCACTTGAGAGCTCTCTGCTTAGCAGACCGTCTCCCAGTATCTGGGGTAGGTCCAAATTTGCCTTCGGGAACACTATCCTAATGGTACAGGCCCTTCACAAAACAGCTTGCAAAGTTTCTGCACTGTATGTATTTCCAATTTGTCCAAGTTATCTCTTTGGGGATGCATAAGTTTTTTGATGTGAATCGTCTGAGAACCGAAGCTGAGGGAAATACTTATGTGTGTATATATGAAATTATATATGTGCTTCCAGTAAAGTCAGTGTGGGTTTAGGCTCATGATTGAGCCTTTAGCTGAGGGATCCCTGGGGCACCTGTCCACACAAGATGGTTTCATGAGCATGCATCCTGCCACAAAAATATCAGATGACCACTTCCATGACCCTTCAAGATCTTTGCTAATATTTGGGTAGTAAAATGCTTTGGAAAGAGAGGAGCTGAGGGAGAATTTCAGTATGCCAGAGCTGGGGGGACAGTGGTGCTGAGATGCACTTTGTTCTCTTTTTCCTAGACACTGCCCCAAACTCCTCAGCCTGCACTGAAAATTAGAAATTTAGAAAGGTGAATGCTGTAAGATGAAGCTGCCCCATTGGGCATCGGTGGGGGTGAAATTATCAGTGTCTACAGGGGCAGGAAGTCAAGGGGAACTTGGATGAAGCAGGGTTCTAGGACTCAGTCTTTTGGGGCTCCTCTGACCTCGCTGTCAGTTTCCTTGACCTCTAATGACCTTCCCTCCACCTCCCTCTGACTTTATGACTTTCCATGACCCCCTCACCTTCTCACCACCAACCTCACCTCTCCACCAACCTCCTTCCACTCTCCCCATAACCACCCTATGACCCCTCTCTCTGGATGTTCCCCTTGAGCCCCTCCCCCTCCGGCCTTCCCCAGACTTCCTCCCTTGATTGGTCTTCAGATTTTCTACCACTTACCTTCCGTGACCTCCCCATGACCTTCCCTGACCACCTCTGACTTGTGATGCTTTTCAGGAAGAAAGGAAGATCCCCCCTCCAATACCAAAGAAGCCCCCCAAGGGGAAATTCCCCATCACGAGGGAAAAGTCCCTGGACCTGCCAGACAGACAGCGCCAGGAAGCCCGGCGCAGGCTCATGGCAGCCAAGAGAGCCGCCTCCTTCCGCCAGAACTCCGCAACGGAGAGGGCAGATAGCATCGAGATCTACATCCCCGAGGCCCAAACACGGCTCTGAGGACCAGAGGTGGCCGCGCGCGCCTGGCTTCGTTCTTTTTCACAAAATGCTTGTACAGTTTATTGCCTACCTGGTAGCTTCTCTCTCACCCTCCACCGGATTCGCCCTTGCCGTGTTCTCCGCACTGTAGACAGTGGACGCTCGGATTCCTAGTTCGCTGAGCTCATGGCAAGATTGACTCTGAAGGACGTCGGCTCTGAGGAGCAGGCTTGGTGAGCCCCGACTTACCTCCCTGTTGGCAGAGGGCCGCCCAGTGACCTCTTGAGATGGACCCTCGCTTTGTCTTTGTTATTTCTATTTTTATAAATTGTGTGATAACCAGAGGTCACTACAAACGGGTGCATCTCCCCACTCTTGAGAGGCATTAGACATCCAAGTGGAAGGTGCTACAACTCGAAAGGCAGGAAAGACAGCCAGACCTGTTCCCCATCACCCGAGCTGCTCTCCCCAGCCGAGCTGCCCCTTGTCCTTGCTGTCCTCACCAGTCCTGCCGCCCCAGGAAGTGCTCAGATCCTTGGTTGACATTCGTGATGACAGAAAGGGGTCTCTCCAACGTCCCCACCATGTGGTTCTCCAAAAGGAAATGACAAGGCTGGATGTCCCCACCCTACCCCCTCCCCCAAAAAAATCTAGCATGGAATGTTCACATTCAAAGCTAACTGAACATTCCTCTAAGAGAGGGACCCATGGAAAGGACTGGTAGGAGCCCAGAGAATACAAAGAGGAAGAAAAAACAAAACAAACAAACAAAACAAAAAAAAAAAAAACTAAGAAATGGTCATAGTATTTTTATCCCTTGGTAACTTAAACCACTACACAGAGCTTTTTGTTAAACCTCACTGCTCACGCTACATGTGCTTTTTATATATGTTACATAATGTTCTCAAACTGCTATCACTCGACTTCCCAGGGTACCTTTAAAGGAGTTTGCTTGTTTAAGATGACAATGGCGATGTTGTAAACCATGTAAGACATATGAATGTGAGTGGTAAGTATATCAGTTAAAATGGTAAAGAAGAAAAGTTAGTTTATACTTGTATTTTTCCAGAATTCTTTTGTCCTATGCAGTACTGCTGAAGTTAAGAATCTGTTTCTTGCCTGTGTTAGATATGAGAAGGAGAGAAAGAGAGTGAGAGATCACGCATGGTGATTTCCAACTATAGATTTTAAGAAAGGTAATCAGTGCTTCATGACTCAGAGGGTGCCGAGGGGGAAAAGATTGGCTCTGATGAACAGGCTTTGTGTAAATGGTATTTAAACACACAGATGGTCTCTTTGTAACCCAACCTCTGCATGGAAGTTCAGATGGCACGGAGAATGAGCAGATCCCCTTGGCCCCGATCTCAGAGTTCTGGGTTCTGCGAGCGCAGGCTCCCGCGCATCCCAGGTCGCCCCTCTCACTGCTTTAAGGAGCACGCGTGCTTAGCCGTAGGCGGAAAGCCTTCCACAGCTCTGTAGCTCTGTGTTCTCCCTGTGACTCGCACTTTAGACCGTCCCCCGAGGCCCCTCGGCAGCCTGGCTACATCTCCGGTCACCATGTGGGTTCCCGGCGAGGCAGCCTTGCAGCTCTGGCGTTGCTGAGACGCCTCCAGCCTCTTCCTCATCCTCTACATTCCACTACGCATGGGGGGCACGGTCGATGATACAGCATGTCAAGCCTCAAAGTTTTACTTTTTTAAAAAGCCGAGTAGTTAAGAACTCCCTTTAATAGCAAAACCCTATAAATTGAGCCTTGTATCTGGTATATATTTTACCAAACAGCCTTAAAATATATTGGGAAGCAAAAATCATACGAATGTATACCCTTTAAAAGATGCAAAAAATAATAACCCCCAAAATATTCTTCTATCACTAAACCCTGTTTCCCCAGAGTGTTCAAATCATTTTCTATCTAAATAAATAATGTAAATCCTGAATAGTGTACAATAATGATGCTTACTCCTGTACTCAATGCCACTGTGTTAAAAAAAAAAAAAAGTATGTTGTAAGCACTGGTATTTCAGACTTTAAAAGCAATGTATCCTATAATTACCATTTAGAAGTAATCAGAGGTAAGCAGAACTGACTGCCCACCCCATAGCTGAAGGAAATGCAGAAAGCAAATGTCCCTGCTTCCCACACCCATGAGGACACCTGGCAGACTTTTCTATCATTTCCTCAAATGTATACAACATACGCCGAAGCAAATTGTAACGTTAGACAATCATTTTTTGTCTCAAACCCCAAATTCTATAGACCCAACTTGAACAAAATATCCACTAGATTCTGATTACTTATGTCATCCATATTCATTTTTTCATCCAGTATTGTCCATAGTCTTGGCTTAAACGCCCCCTTGCTGAGCAAATCTCCCTTCCCTGAGTTACAGTGAAAAATGTGTCCTTATCTGGTTCACTAGGTTCCAAAGAGTATTGTTTAATGGCCGAACAGATGCCTGCTGCTAGCTCTAATGGAGTGTCAGCTGTTCGTGTCCCCCTTGCAAGTGCAATACCTTCAGTTCTCATGCAGGTGACACTCTGTTGTGGAACAAGAAGATAAGCCATGTTTACATTGCATCATCCAAGCAGAGGCAAACAGTGTGCGTGCTGTTCTCCGTTATTTCAGTCGCTCTCAGGAGGTTCATGGTGTGGAGTTCTCCTTCAAAAAACTGACACAAGGACATGGCCATGGCATGGAGCTGTTATCTGTAGCGGCACACCTGTGTTCCCAGAGATGCCACCAACCGCTGGAGAGACTTGAGCATCATCAGTTCAGAATCCCTTCCTCTCAACATCGGGCCGATGTGGACCCTGCTGTGCCGAGCTGTGAGAGCAGTGGGGAAGCAAGCGTAGCTGGAGAGCAAGACCAGGGGGAGGAAAGTGGCTGAGAAAGAAGATTCTCTTCCCTGCACTTTTCTGGGCATCTCTACTTGTTCCTGCTGTGAAGATAGTTGTCACCAGAATTTATTGTTCCCACGTCTTTATCACCCAATCTAGTATGATGTAGAAAGGAGCCAACTTGTTTTATGCCCAGAAATCACCTTGTTGTTGAAAAGGAAATGCCCACATTTTTAACTTTAAGCCACACTGTAAGACTTCAACTATTCAATAGAAAGCAAATACTTAGAAAAAATACAAATTATATCTAAGACTGCCTCAAAAACTTACACGAAACAATAAGCTGCAAAATAGAGGTGGTCTTCCAACCAGCCTTTATGGAAATGCCCAAGTTCTGAGTAGAATAACACAAAAGGTACGCAGCTCATACGATGGCTCCTGATTCTTGGGGTGACTGTCCCAGTTCACCCCATTTTGCTTTCTGCCTTTTGTTAGCATGTTGAGCAAGTACTGTTTCTACCACCCTAACTTCAGTTTGCTTCCTCCGTGTGTTCACTACACACCCCAAACCCAGGACCCCAGGATGAGATTTCTCTGGAAATACGGTGATATCATGGGCACACGGCCCAAGTGCCTGTAGCAATCATAGAACTCCCTGCCTTAGAAACAGCTGTCTGGTTTGGGCCAAACATTTTTTTAAAGACAAAGTCTCACTGTGGATAGTACAGGCTAGCCTCAATGTTGCAATTGTCCCACCTCTTTCTTCTGGGTGCTGGGATTACAAACATGCACCATCACATTCAGCCTTGGTCCACGATTTTTGGCAGCAGATGTGGGCTGGAATGAAAGAGTGACGCATACTGGACTTTGCAGTTGTGGGATAATCAGGTTTCAGCCAGCCTTCCTGTTTCTGTCCACACAGCTGGAAGCTGCTCACGCTTCCAGGGGCACACAGGTCAGGCTGGTTTCAGCCGCTTTCCCTTCCCCCACCCACCAGCGGTGTCGGTTACCTTGCTCAGGGCTCTCTGACCACAGCTCCAGGATATCCACATTAACAGAAGCTGACAAGTCGTGTGTCAGGGAGACTCAGGCTGACCGGTTGGCAAGACTGTGCCTGCTGAGGACAGAGGAACTCCCTCAGGTATTGGAGAGGCAGCAGCAATCCCCCTAGGGCATGTATCTTGAAGGAAACTGGCAGTCTAGAGTAATAATGGTCTTGAGAAGACACCTAAGCCCCAAGCTCAGCCCACCAGCTGCAGACATGAAGCACAGCACAGGCATGCTTTCCCGGGTCACATGCTTTCACATACATGTGTCGCCCAGCCATTTTTTCACCAGCCTTGGCCATCTTCCTGTTCTTGCATATCACTACCTTTATGGTTATCACTGTTGTTTTTATCGTTTTCAAACTACATTCACTGGAAGTTCTGAGGAGTTTCTTATTTCTACCCACTCGTTGCTTATACTTCTAAGTAGGTTTGGATCCAACCCCGGGGGGTTCTAAAGCCAGGAAACCACAGGCTTCAAAGATCAAGAATATAACATCCTCTGAGCATCAGTGGCCTCAGCTATCTTGGTGAGCAGGGCCCTTTGCACTGCCTCATGTCCTGTCCCTGCCTGCCATGAACACAGCACATTAGTGGACGTCGTCCCTGGGCCCTCGTGCTCCACGTGCTTCCTGTGGTGAGTGGGAAGGTGCAGCACACTGAAGGCAGTGAACGCCCCTGTCAGGCTAGATGCCTTCTCCATAGGACGGCCACCGAAAGTCTGAGATGTCACAGAGAAGGTGCCAAGAGTCCCGGGGCTCAGCCAAACCTCCAGAACTTACGCGTGCAACAGCTAGAACATGTCTTCACTTGGGTCCCTGTTTTCTCTTCCATAATGTGCCATTAGCGTTACTGTCCTCCCCCACCTCCCTCCCAGGCAGACACAGTGTAAGGATCGGTGACAGATGGCCTCTAGCATCTTTAAGCTTGGAGCTTCATGGTGAATGCATAGTGTGGCCCCACTCTATGCAGAACGCTGGCAGAGCCAGCCAGGGCACAAGAAGAAGGGACATTTAATTTGGGGTCCTGTTTTGCCTAGGCAGGAAGTTAAAAACAAGAATGCGGGGGGGGGGGCACAGAAATAGAACATAATAGCCAGGGAGGGACTGCTTTTTCCTGCTGGCTGTGACTTCAGTTTTTATACTTCTACTACAATCAAGAATCAGCAACACCAACAAGAATTGGGCGATGTTTTTACCATCCTGTCAGCTCAGCTCCCTCCTGGATGAACTGAACAGATGTTATCTGTATGTTAAAGTGATGAAAGAACAGTTCTACCTGGGAAACAGAGGGACGTGTGTGTGAAGAGCACCAGAATGGACTCAGCGAAGTCGCTCCATCCCGGGTTCCAGGCTTTGCCATCATTCCCCTGCCCACTGCAGAGATGAGCACACAGACACTCTGAGAAGAAGCCTTTCCATTCTCACCACACTGAAAAACACCACCATGTTATGAGTTTTTGTCCTAACTCTGGCGTTTTGATCTAATGTTAAAAAAAAAAAAAAATTACCTTGTTTCTGTCTCAACATCTGGCAGTTGACTCCTTTTCAGAGGACGTATTAGTTACCTACAAAACTGCTACTTTTTAAAAGATTTTGTATACACACAAACCAAGGTAACAGTAGTTTACCTCCCAATTTTCTTAGATTTTCGGAGACTCTTAATCATTGGTGCTTATTCTGAATTTGAAAGACTTGGGCTCCAAGACTTCCCACGTGCAGGTGCAAGCGGAAGGAAACATTGTCGCAGAGGAAGTTGTGGCAGGATTCCAGTGTGTGTTTCTGTTTTGAGCAGTGGTCTCCATGGAAGGGCTTGAATGCGCATCTGCAGACTCTCGGATGGAAGCCAAGGTCGACTGTGGGACCTTAGGAAGTCACTCGTCCATATCCCCTAGTCCCCCACTACCACCCAACTCCAGCCGTCTCAGAAACTTGGTCACCTTCAAAGGGCTCCACAAGAATTGTCACCCTCCCTCCATTTTCAGTTGGTTTGCTGCATTCAGGAAGGTTTCCCCTAATGAGCAGCGAGAACCGGGCTACTTATTTCCCAACAATAAGCCACTTAACCTCTGGCCAGGTACCCTACTGTAGAGACACAACCCTCTACCCACCCTCCATACTATGTGCCAAAATACCCAGGCGTGGCCTAAGGACTGAGTTTAATGCCTCCTATAGGATTCAAGGAATGCTAGAGCAGGAGACTAGCAATTTAGTTAAAGGTTAAAAGTATATAAATATATAAATAAATAAATAAATAAATAAATAAACAAATAAATAAATAAACAAACAAACATATAATGTAATACCCACGACAAGGATCAACAGAGTGCCAAATATTCAAGCCTGTACAGTTACAGTCACCAGAACTAAACTATTTTATGTACTTCTCTTACTCATGCTTTTTTGGGTTCTTTTGATAACTCTGACTTCCTAGCATGCAGTATCCTATCTGATGTATTTCTCGTTGCCAAAACAGTTTCTTCCTTCTCATTAATAATTTAAATCATTTTTAAAAGATTGCTTTTTTAAGTTTTCTTTCTTCTGTGAGTTTTTCTTTTCTTCACTTCTAGGTGACTATGGAAACACTGTTGTCCAGGATCTTCTATGATAACACCTCTTTCATTTGATGTCTGTATTGCCAGTATTCACCTGTAAATAGTTCTGCAATTAAATTTTTTGAGAAAAGTAACATTTACTTTTAGTGGAGTAAGTTCTTTGTGTTATTTTTTTTTTAATTCAGAAAATGTGTATCAGGGGGTTTTATACAAGAAAAAAATACTTTTCCTCCATTATGCATTTTATTTTTTAAATATTCTAAAGATATATAGGTATAGATGAAATAGGAGCTGTAGAGATAGCTTGGTGGGTTAGCCAAGTAAACTTTAGGACCTGAGGTCAGATTCCCAGCACCCATGTGAATGCCAGGTACTTAGGAGGCAGAGATAAAGGATCCCCTGGGCAGGCTACCTAATAGACTATCAAACCTGTGAGCTCTGGGTTCAAAGGAGAGACCCTGCCTCAAAATGTTAAGTGGAAACTGGTCAAGAAAAACACTTGGTGTCAACCTCTGTCCTCCACATGAATACACACATGCATGCTTACCTCCCCCCCCCACAAACATGCATACACATGGTTATGAAAACACATTACACATATAAGCATGCATAAAAAGAACTAGGTATTCCTCAACACTGAGCATTTAATCAGTTTGCAAAATAGATGGATTAACATGATCCTTCAGTTAACACTGCAGTAGTTAGTTAATGGATTTCACACACCTTTGAGTTACAGGGGAAACATGGAGTTACAGGAAAAACATTGACCACACAACTGCGAAGACCCATAAATCTTAGGTGCAGTGAGGCAGGGCTGGGGACTGATGGCATAGTGCCAGGCCTCTGTGTAGAAGGACAGAAAGGCTCCACTACCCGAGTGCCCAGATGTAGGTTGGGTCCCTCCTAAGGGATGGAAATGGAGTTCATTTCTCCAGTACTTCTGTTCTATTACTCATGCTAATTGGGGTGGGAAGACCGAAGCCACCGTGGGTTATGCCATTCTCAGTTTGGCTCCTGGGCTGTGTAGGAGTCGACCACATGAGCTGAGTGCTAGGTTGTACAAGCATTCATTTCTCTCCTCTCTTGACTGCAGATGTGGTGTGACTGGCTGCTTCAAGCACCTGCCACCAGATTTCTTCTCCGTGGTAAACTACAACCTATAACTGTGAGCTAGACTGAACTTTTTAGGCCCTAGGTTGCCTTTTGTCACTATATTTTATTACAGCAATAAAAATGAAACTAGAACAAGAGAGAAAGGTCAGAGAAAGCCTTTGACCTTTCTCCTCAATTCTTTTGTAGAACTAACCTATTCTAGTGAAAGATAATCTATTATATATGCTATATAATAAAATGAGACTGCCTTTATATATATAAAGATACATATATATATATATATATATATATATATATATATACACACACACACATTTTTACATACATATGTATTGATGGATGGATGATATTGAACTCCTGAGCCTTAGAGTGCTAGGATTACATGTGTAAGCCACAAGCCAGGTAAAGTTCTATTGCATAAAAGAAGTGATGCAAGAGGCAGTTTGGAAAATGTCATCTGCAGCAATTTCAAGGTTTTCAGCTCGTTTCCGATATTTGACATTTTCAGTGAGCTGCCTTATGAAGACGAGGGCTCTGGGGACTTCTGGCCCTTATTTTTATTAGTTTTTTTTTTTTTTTTTCCTTGCACCCTCTCTAGTTACAGTCACTTAATACGCTCTGAGGACGGTTCTTTGCTTCTTAATTAAGTGGAGAGCACTTCACCAGTGTGCTTCAGGAAAGGAGAAATGATTTTAGAGCGTGCTCACCAGTCTGAGCTCTGCAGCCCAGCACCACGGTGCTTTCTTAGAAGTGCTCCTCAAAGGCCTCATTGGAGTTTAAAATCAAATGCATAGATTTTGCCTAAACAGCTAGAGTCCAAGACAGATGAAAATCCATCCAAATGATTTCATGAGCCTAGAAAAGTCTTCCAGAACTTAGAGTGAGAGAAATTCAACCTTATATAAACACACGTAGCATGGCCAAGATTAAGTAAAGATGCAGAGCACAGTTAAGAACTCACTTCACAGCTGGACATGGTGGAACATGCCTTTAACCCCAGCACTCAGGGAGGCCCAGGCAGACAGATCTCTGTGAGTTTGAGGCCAGCCTGGTCTACAAATCAAGTGCAGGACAGCCAAGGCTACACACAGAAACCCTGCCTCGAAAAAAAGCAAACAAGAGAACCTTCACATTACTGCACAGCCCTCACCTTCTGGTCCTCGTCCTCCATCTCCCAGCATCTGCAAGCAGACATGCTTGTGTTGAAAAGCCCAACAAGAGGTGCTTCAACATAGCCTCACCTACCTTCCTCCTCAACACGGTGAGGAGGTGAAGCCCCAAGCCTTTGGGAACTGAGACTCTGCATAGGTACCGGTGCCACACACAGGCAGCTGGTGCACCCTCCTCAGTTGCCTGCCATCCCAATCCCAGTCTTACATACTCAGACTCACAAAACAGCTGCTTCCAATCAGCCGGCCGCACCCCAGCCACTGCCCACTCGCTGTGCCTGAGACCTGAAACATTGCAGTGGTTCCTCCTGGAGCTCAGATTTGAGCGTGCCTTCCTCCCCTCCTAGAGCTCCTACCTCCACGGCCTATCTGTAACATGCTGTAACAAGAGTGTCTTGTCCATCCGTGCCAGGATCCTGCCCTGACTCTGAGAGAAAGATCCCTACTCCTCCCTCACTGCCTGAGGCTCGGCAAGTTCCGTCAATGGCTTCCTCTTATAGCCCCTCTTCCAAAGGTGAGAGCCCCCTCTTCCTTCCTCTGCAAAGTGACACTCAACCTGATCACTGCCATGGTGCACCCCGCTAAGGAGGAAGCTTTTGCTAACTGGCCTATGATCCTCTGTGAACACCCTTAGGATAAGCAATCATGGGTACCTCTCTCTTATTTCTTCACCGTAATTAAGACAAATCCAAAGAGCCTGGCAGCACGTTCAGTGTTCTTTGGACCTAAGCAGAGCCCGACCAGGAAGGATGTACAGAGCCGATTCCCCTGGGTGCTGTTGCTGAGTCAATAAACATGTTTAAGCAATTTTTGTGTTCTGATCACTATACTACTGTATTTTAAAAACAAATCATGAATCCTGGGCAGCATGTGTTAACTGCGGTCGGGTTGCTGGTTGAGCCCTATGTTTTCAGGTTCTTGGCATTTTTTTTTTCTCAAGAAGGAAATAAAACCCCACATGGACTGAAAAGTGGCATGGAAAGTATATTCAGAGCAAGCAATAGAAAGGACCAGAATATACTACAATATAGCAGTGAACCACAGGATGAAAATACTCAAGGGCCCAGATTATTGCTTGGAGCTTTCCTTCTATGGGAATTTCCATAAGAGAAGCAGGAGTTTGGTTAATGGAGATATAACAGGGGTGATTCTCTGTTTTCATTGAGAGATTAAGTCATACAATCTTTTCCTACCGCACATGCTCTTTCATATAATGCATCTGATTTTAATCATATGCACACCTATTCATACATAGGCATAAGATGTCAAATAGGGGATTCTTCTTAGAAGCTCTTTTGAGGATACAGTCTTGCCTTACTGTGCATGTATCTCAAACCAGTTGAAGCTGGATCAGCTCTTCTAGTCTTTTTATCCAGATACGCTGGAAAGATACTTGAACACATACTGTCTATGTTTGGTTGTTGTTGGAGGAGAAGAAACCTATTCCACTATTAGAGGAGTGTCCAGGTAGCACCTACGCAGATTGGGGGCCCAGAGTTGCTAGGTGTGTCACTCAGAGAGAGGTGTGCGTGCCTAGGACATGCAGGTGAGGGAGTTAGTCTGACAAGCGCATTATTAGAGGAGACGAGAGTGCATGACCAAACCATCTCAGGCCTGCCTGCCTTAGCGGCTCACTTCTCAGGCCAGTTTACCCCAGAGGGACAGCCTGTGACGCTGCGGCCATCCTCATTAATATTAATCAGGAAGTCAGCTACAACCATTCTCAGCAATGACTATAGATGCCCACATTCAAACTGTGGTATTCTTGATGCCCAGGAAAGTGAGAGAGGGCTGCATTTCTTCTTCTCCAGTGCCAGGGAGCCGTGGTAGAGCCAAGATAGATTTCACACATGAGCTCTGGATATGTGTCACAACCAAGGGACACTAGGTTTGGGGGACCCACTGTTCATACGAAGGAGACCTTGGCTCTCAGTATGACCTCACTAAAAGCAGTCTTGGGTAGGACAGGCTGGCAGTACACACTTGGCACAGCTAGGAAACCACATCTGGCATTGGCCATCCCTGCGCTTAGCCACAGCCTGGCCTGTTAGTGACACTGCTCCCAGAGCACAGAGGACAGGGGCCAGCGTCCTGAGCCTGACAGGCTGGCCCATCCAGGAAGAAGGACACTCTTTATATTGTTCCAATGTTGTCTTGTCTTTTTTGTATATTGTTTGACTTGTTTGTTTGTCTTTGAGATAAAGTCTCACATAGCCCAGGCTGGCATAGAAATCACTATGTAGGCTGGCTTTGAAATATTGGTTTTCCAAGGAGCTGGGCATGGTGGCACATGCCTTTAACCCTAGTGCTCCAGAGGTAGAGGCAAGCAGATTTCTTGAGTTTGAGGCTAGCCAGAAAGAAAGAAGGAAGGAAAGAAGGAAGGAAGGAAGGAAGGAAGGAAGGAAGGAAGGAAGGAAGGAAGGAAGGAAGGAAGGAGGGAGAAAGCAAGAAGGAAAGAGAAAGAAAGAAAGAAAGAAAGAAAGAAAGAAAGAAAGAAAAAGAAAGAAAGAAAGAAAAGAAAGAAAGAAAGAAAGAAAGAAAGAAAGAAAGAAAGAAAGAAAGAAAGAAAGAAAGAAAGAAAGAAAGAAAGAGGAAGGAAGAAAAAGAAAGGAAGGAAGGAAGGAAAAGAAAGAAAAGAAAAGAAACGGAATATCTGCCTCAGCCTCCCGAATACTGGGGTTACAGACAAGCACTACTATGACTCCCTCAGACTTGTTAATCAGCATCTAGAACTCAATTTCCAGCCCTTTTGTTTTTGCAGTTAAATTGTGTCTCACCATGAAGCCCAGGCTGGTCTTGAGCTTGACTTCCTCCTGCCTCACCCACAAGAATGGTAGAGTTATAGGCATGGGCTGCTGCTCCCAGCTTCAAATGCATCTTGGGACTTCTCTCTCTTTCCTGAGGAACCCTAGCCCAGGCTTTCAGTGGCTCCTGTGCTTCTTAAGGTCACTTAGCCTAGAATTCTGTTAATATTAATTGTCTCAAAAGCTTAGTTGCAATAAGATACAGAAGCTGAGTTAGAGAGCTGAGTTTTACATTTGGTTTCTGTTGGGCTTTTGTTGTTGTTGTTTGTACTTTTTTCTTGGAAGTATTAAGTATATTTTGGAGAGGTAATTACGTGAGATATTCCAGACACTCCAGAATTTTCTAGAGGCTTTCCACCCGTGAGCCACACTAGCAACTGCCAGTGAGAAACCCTTAGGTCACCTCTGTCTGCAGCATTACCCATGGAAGCCTTCAGAGGTGAGACAGGAAGCTGGATTTGAGTCTCGTTCTTAAGTTCAGGCCTGTGATTCCTGCACAGCCATGAAGAGGTACAGGGAGTCCTCATTGGAATTAAGAGACTAACACCAAGAAATCTGTGTAGGGAGGGGCTGAGTGGCCAGCAACTTGAAAGAACTCTCTCTCTCTCTCTCTTTCTCTCTCACTCTCTCGCTTTTTTTTTTTTTTCAAAGACAGGGTTTCTCTGTGTAGCCCCAGCTGTCCAGGAACTTATTCTGTAGGCCAGGCTGGCCTCAAACTCAGTGATATGCCTGCCTCTGCCTCCCTAGCGGCAGGATTAAAGATGTGCACCACCACCACCCAGCTACAAATTTAATTCTGAATTGAAACAGTTTATCATAGATGCCTAAGGATAATTTTGACCATTGGCCAATGAAATTACTGATATCAGCGGTTCTCAACCTGAGGGCCACAACCATGGGGAAACACATATTTCTGATGCTCTTAGGAACTGAGGCACCACTCAGTAGCAAACACAGTTATGAAGTAACAAAGAACCTGGCAGCAGTGGCACGCGCCTTTAATCCCAGCACTTAGGGAAGCAGAGGAAGGCGGATCTCTGTGAGTTTGAGGCCAGGACAGCCAAGACTACACAGAGAAACCCTTTCTGGAAAAACAAAACAAAAAGTAACAAAGAAGATAATTTTGTGGTTGGGGGTTGCCACAGCTGTATTAAAGGATAACAGCATTAGGAAGGTTAAGAAACACTGACTTTAGTGTTTT